TCTTTGAGTATCTTAAAAAGTGCTATATAAGTATTATCTACTTTTATTATTATTATTAGTTTTTTAAGTGTGCAAAACAAGTCGCAGTATATTGTTGCATTTATAGCGTTTTACTTAGGGAAGAACCTAGCGGAATGAACCCCGATAAACACAGCTGCAAAGGAGCTACATGCATGATGCAATGTTTAATTACACAGGTATTCTTTATATTCTCAGACAAAAGCAACTACAAACAGCTGCTGGGAGCTATGGACTACTCCTTTCTGTGTGCCTATGCAGTGGGAATGTACCTCAGGTGAGTTTGCAGGACGAGAAGCATAGTTTTATTATAGCAGCTGTGAAACAGATACACTGCAAGATAAAAACTTCGCAAAGCATATGAATGTAACATCACTGCTCCTGCGGTCGGCTGGTTGGAGCACTGAGCAGCTTTTCTTTTGTTTTTTTCTTGCTCTTGCTCATTTTTAATGTATCGCTCTTTGGCCACCTAATTGTCCCTCAGGTTAAATAAAATTTTCTTCTGATTCTGATGATTCTCTGATTCTGAGACAAGCACCTAAATACTACTAGCTGAAAAAAAGAAGGTGTTTAATGAAGTCAATAGTGGTGGTTAAATTATTCCATCCATCCATCCATCCATTATCATTACACTGCTTAATCCTCACTAGGGTCTAGGGGGGCTGGAGTCTATCCCAGCTGACTCAGGGTGAAGTCAGGGGACACCTGGACAGGTCGTGGTTAAATTCAGACAATTGAAGTTTTGTAAGTGAAGGACAAGTTGCACAAATGGCCAAAAATGCTTTCAACTGTCAGTGGCATAAATTTCTTTAAAATTGCAAGTAAAGTAAAGTTTGCAAGTATTGGAATATTTTAGACATCTCTGTTTTTTAGAATAAGATGGTATGGTTAATTTGATGTCATCAATGTGTGTCCATGTAGCGGCATCATTGGGGAGCGCCTGCCCATTCGGCTGTACCTGACAGTAGGCATGCTGACCAGCGGACTTTTTACATGTTTGTTTGGCCTGGGCTACATCTACAACATCCACAACTTGGGCTTCTATATATTTGTCCAGGTGAGATGCACAATAATGCTTTTCAAGAATTAAACAATTTATGAAGTGTTAAACAAATCCTGTGAGGAACATTGAGTCAACTAGTTTTAACACTGCCATGTAAACAGAGCCTGCAGGTGTGCACACACACACCAAACTGACTCGCCCAGGTTCATTTGCTATGTGTGAAATTTAGTGTTTTAGACTTTAGTCAGCTAGCTACTTTGTAACTGTTGGAGCTGGGAGGACAAAATATGCTGCTCAAGAACCCCCTTTAAACAGATATGGCATTGAAGGTGAATGTGCACACACAGATACATGAGGTATACAGCTTTAGGTATGCATTGTATTAACACATTGAAGACTACAATGTGAGCACAGGAAGCACTAAAAAATATGGTTAAATAAGTGGTACTGTAAAAATGATTCAGTCTTTTTTATTGTTTCAGGTGGCCAATGGCTTAGTCCAGACTACTGGCTGGCCCAGTGTAGTGACCTGCATTGGCAACTGGTTTGGAAAGGGAAGGTAAGGTCTGATGATTCCTGACTATAGTAGACAGACTTTGTCTTAGCAGCAGTCTTGGAAAAAAATAAAACGGAACGGTGTGTCAGGTAGCTAGATTTGCCATTGCACCTGAAATTTACATTATACGACTGCACCATTACAAGCTATTAGAGAACATTCTAAAGTGCAATACAGTTAGATTTTTAGTCCAAATGGCATTATGAAAAAAAAAAGCACAATATTTCTGCTAATCTCTACAGAGCTGCTCTGTAAATCGCTTGTCAAGTCCTCTGTGTAAAAGAGGAGAATTTACAATATATATATGTTTTTTGGTTTCGTGGTTTTCTAGGCAGTCTTACCAGTGAGAATGCACTTGATTTCCAATTAAATTCTATTTAATTTTATTATAGCGCCAGTTCACAACATGTTGTTTCATTTACACATTTTAAACAGAGAACCTGACAGTCTGTTTGGAGAGTGCAACTCTGCTTCCTGGTCTCACCTCTGGACTGTCAGGGGTTTAGTTTTTTTTTTTTTTTTTAAATTCTCCATATTCCTAGATAGGAGAGCTGCACCATCCAAAGTGGGATGTGTGAGGTGTCTCCTAATGAGACCAGGTTTTCCCCAGAAATTTTTACAATTTTCTGTTAAGCCCACATTGTTGTCTGGACACCACCTCAATAGCCAGTGGTTGAATGATGGCATGTGGCTATATGTGTCATCACTGATCACATTGGGCAGGGGTCCAGAGAAAACTACGGAGTCTGACATCATCTTAGTCAATTTATACACTGACTCAGCAATAAATGTAGTGACCTCTGATTGCCTCAATCGGATGTCATTGCCACCGACAATTATAATCTTACTGTATTTACGCTTATCCTTTGCCAGCAGTTTTAAATAGGATTCAGCATCTCCCACTCTGGCCCCAGGAATACATTTGACTGGCGCTGGTGTCTCTAGCTTCACGTTTCTGACTATGGAGCTGCCATGGGCGGCTGTGGCTCAGGTGGTAGAACGGTTGTCCTCTAATTGCAAGGTTGGCGGTTTGATCCCTCCATGGTTGAAGTGTCCTTGGGCTAGACACTGAACCCAAAGTTGCTCCCAATGGCAGGCAGCACCTTGTATGGCAACTCTGTCACCATTGGTGTATGAATAAATGAGAAAATGAGAAAACATTGTAAAGTGCTTTGAGTACCACTAAGGTAGAAAGGCGCTCTGTAAGTGCAGACCATTACTATTTACCAATTCTGTTCTTCTGTTTGGGACCATGCTTCCTACGTCACCCAGCCTGCCTGACTTCCTGGCTGCTCAGGAATTGCTGAGGGGTGGCCAACAGGAGCTATGCTAGGTCGCTCTGTACCAGCTATGGGGGCCTGGTTAGTTGCTACATTTCCTGGGTTGTTTAACATGGTATGGCACTAAGCCACACCTCCAAAGCTACGAACATAAAGGAGACGGGTGAGTAAATAAACATAAGAGAGTAAGAGAGAGAGAGAGGGAGAAAGAGAGGGAGAGGTATAAGCCATGTCTAGCTTGCTTAGCTGCAAGGCTAGCTGATCAAAAACACCAAGTTATATTACGATCTATGAAGCAGTATTTTACACAAGCGCTTTAGGAGCAGCCTGCGTAGTAATTTGATTTATCTTAAAGACGATTTTTAGTGCTAGAAGGAAGAATTTAATAATAACTGAGAAAGAGCCGAGTACAGCTGCAACACTAGCTTCAGACAGAAAAAGAAGTGGTATGTCACCTTGCTGTGCAGGAACAGGAACAATCATCCAATGTCCTCTGGACTTATCTCATTTCCCAGAGATTCCAGGATCTGAAGACACTGCCAGGGTGAGGAGGGTGTCTGGTTTGGGGACCTCAGGATCGCGTCTCTGCTTTTAGCAGACGATGTGGTACTGTTGGCTTCATTAGAGCTTGACCTTCAGCACGCTCTGGAGCAGTTTGCAGCAGAGTGTGAAGCAGGGGAGATGCAAGTCAGCACCTCCAAGTCAGAGGCCGTGGTTCTCTGCCAGAAACCGGTGGATTGCTCCCTCGGCATCTTGTTCACAAGTGATGGGAAAATGGAACCTGAGATGGACAGGCATCCAGCAGTAATGCAGACAGCCGGAGGGAGCTCGGAGTAGAGTCGCTGCTCCTTTGTGTTGAAAGGTGCCAGTTGAGGTGGTTTGGACATCTGATTCGCATGCCTCCAGGGAGGCTTCTTTTGGAGGTTTTCCGAGCACAACCGCTTTGGGATCCCCCAGGAAGAACTGGAAATGGCCTGCTCGGTCTGCTGCCTCTGCGACCCGACCCCGGATAAGCGAAAGCAAATGCATGGATGAAAGTAGACAGACATTTATTGTCATATGGCAGCATAAAAACAGCATTTTAACACTATGCAATGAAATTATCTACTTTGCACACTCCCATATCCATAATAAAGAATATCAATATAAATACAAAAAGACAGAACAACAATAATATAAATAGATACAAATAAAAGAGACAGTAACTAGGGTGAATATTGTCGAACTACATGTAGCAGCATCAGTGAGATGAACTAGCAGCAAGTATACATTTAAAGTGCCCAGTGCCTGGTGACACATGTAAACTGGAATGTTGTGTACATTAAACAGCAGTGATCAGTCAGTGTTTGAGGTTGTTCTGGGGTCTGATGGTCAGAGGAAAGGAACTCTTTGACAATCTTGTGGTCCTTGATTTCACACTCTTGTACCACCTCCCTGAGGGCAGTGGTATGAAGAGTGTGTGCTGTGAGTTTGTGTGATCTCTGATGATGTTGTGGGCTCTCCTGATGACCCTGCTGCTGTAGTTGTCCTGCAGTGATTGAAAGGTCACTCCAGAGTTGTTAGTGCGTTTTTTAGTACACGTTGGAGGGCCTTCCTTTCCAGTTCCCATGCCACACAGTGATGGCGCTGGTGAGCATACCCTGGCCTGCACCTCTGTAGAAGTTGCCAAGGATTTCGGGAGGCATCCCAGATTTCCTCAGCTTCCCAAGGAAAGTGGTCAGATCAGAACAGGAACAATGTGTTCCAATATTGGCAGCAGCACTGGCAGTAGTGTATCACTCCACAAAAAGAAAGTTTAATTCCAGTGTATTTTTGCTGTTTATAGCAGCAGTCTCCAACTTTTTGATTGTGCTCTGGGAGGAGAAGTGATAACTAACATTCTGACTGTTCTGTGTTGCTGCAATCCTGTTGCCATCTGTCAGGCGTGGACTCATCATGGGCCTATGGAACTCCCATACCTCAGTCGGAAACATCTTGGGCTCTCTGATCGCAGGCTACTGGGTCTCCTCCAACTGGGGCCTGTCCTTCATTGTACCGGGGCTCATTATTGCAGTCATGGGTGTCATCTGCTTCCTCTTCCTCATTGAGCGTGAGTACAAACAACAGCTGTATGTTTCTAGGTTATCCCTATGTCTGTTCATCAATCTATTTGTTTGTTTGTTAAATTCTCGTGAATGTGATTCTTTAAAGTCTCGAGGGAAATACTTTAGATTTGGCACAAAATTTTATGCAGAATCCAGGATGAATTGATTACATTTTGAGGATCAATCAACAGAGTAACCATGACTGCACAAAACACAATTTTGCCCATAACTAAAAAAAAAAATTAATTATGACAAAAAATGGAGACAAATATCTAATTAGATGAAAAGTTATGTGCTGAGATTTTATATCCAATATGTCAAAGGTCTAATCCGGGCCAGCATGATGTAAAGTGCATGGCAAGTTGTTAGAGGCATACAAATACAAGTCAGTAATTCCCATTTTCATATTGGAGCTAATTTTCTTGCTTAAATAGTGCACACATCAATTGGTTTGACATTATTTGTCTCAGTGAAGTAGGTTTAATTGTGACTATTTCCTTAGTAATGGTTTGTATAAAGACTTTTGACTTGCTGAAAAAAGCACTCAATAATTAAAAGAATTAATGTAATTACATTTGAGAGTAGTTAAATAAGAAAACCTGTTTTCTGTGGCTTCTTTTTTTCAGTTTGCTGGCTCACTGAAGAAGAGAAGCAGCTTCACACAGCAGCTCTATAGCATCATCACATTAATCCTATTGTATCTTTTTCCTTCTCCAGATCCTAATGACCTGAAAAGCATCTATGCTCAAAATTCATCTCCAGGCAAAAGTGTGAGTACACAATTTTTTGTCCCCTGTTGTGTTCTTAGAAAATGAAACAAAATCTCCTTTTTTTCCTTTTTGCTTTCTTTTGATCCAGTCCTGAGAGCTCCACCTGTAATTAAAATCCTGTGTGCAGCCAACAAGCAGTAACCTCGAGTGTTGAATAAGTAAGCCAGTGCAGAAGTGCCAGAAAACTGCACTTCCTTGAACACGTTTTACAGCCTGGTACAAAAACAGTTCTACATTTTATAGCCAATTTTCCCATTCATGGCAACTGTACAGGTTGTCAATTTTGATGTTTAAATTTTTATCATGCTCAAAGTTATACACAGGTATGGGTGCAGATGCTTTAAATGACATGCTGGTGCTGTCATGGGAAAATTCATGGCCCCACTTAGCTCCACTTGTGCTCCACCTATATGCCAATTTTTGGAGAGGAGAGGAGAGGAGAGGAGAGGAGAGGCGAGGCGCTCAGTACATCATGGGAATCCCCCGGCAGTCTAAAGCTACAGCAGCATAACCAAGGGACAGTTCAGGTGATCCTGAGCAGCTCTAACTATCAGCTTTATCAAAAAGGAAAGTTTTAAGCCTAAACTTAAAAGTAGAGAGGGTGTCTGCCTCCAGAACCCAAACTGGGAGTATCTTAAAGACCTTGTTGTACTGTATCATCCTAACAGAGCCCTTCGCTCTCAGATTGCAAGTCTACTTGTGGTTCCAGAGTTTCCAGAAGTAGAATGGGAGGCAGAGCCTTCAGTTATCAGCTCCTCTGTTGTGGAATCAGCTCCCAGTTTGGGTTCTGGAGGCAGACACCCTCTTTGCTTTAGGTTAGGATTAAAACTTTCCTCTTTGATAAAGTTGATAGTTAGAGCTGCTCAGGAGTTGAGTGAATACCATTCGTGTTTTCATGGCACCTGTCAAGCAGATACATTAGGCGGTAACTGAAACGTCAGTTCTTGAAGTTGATGATGTTGAGTGCTGTTGCCCTAAATTTCTAATGTTTGATAGGAATCCCAGCCTGAACATACCTATATGTCAATACTGAGTTATACTTATAGCAACACCTACTGGACCCAGGAAGTCAGACTTATGTAAACAACATATTTCAATTTTAATGAAGTTTACATGCTGTGTCAAGCAAATGACATATAGCAATATAAAGCGCGTTTGTTTCGTGGTTGGTTCTGAAGTGATACAAGACATGCAATAAGCCGTGTCCACTGCCACCAGATCCAGGTAGGACGCAAAAACGTGCTTGTTCCCGCAGTGAGTGATCTTCACAAAAGTGTGTAGTTGCCTCAACCAGCATCATGCCAGCACCCTGACATGCACACAGGTGTGATGCACGTATCACTGCTGCTTGCAGTTTTCGTTTAGAAATGAGATAGTATATCTGTGGGCTGGTTTTACAGATTGAAATCTTCAGTAGCCAGTGGGCTTCAGCTGAGAACCACAGTCAAAGAAGGAAAGTCCGAAAATGCAGAGAGACAAACTAACACATGATTGGTCTTTTAATTGGATTTATTGACAGCAAGGACACTGTGAAATAATACCAGACTTTGCCTAAAATGCCTAAAAAAGTGAGCTGGAACCAATGTTTATAGTAATGTGGTCATTTGTCCTTTCAATTAGGTTTCAACCAAAAGTTGGAATGGACTAAATGGACACACTGAGGTGTATCTGCAGTACAAGGAGAACAACAGCCAGGTGTGTGTCACTGTGTGTTTGTGTTAATGCATTATGTGTTGTACATGTGATGCTAGCATCCCTTACTATCCCTTGAATTTTTAGATCTCTGTCATATGAAATAACTTTTTCAACTCAAGTGGAAAATGTATTTCTGTGTTGGTGTGTTCATATATTGTTCAGCCAGTCACAACAAGAAACATATTGAGAATATATGATGATGTTGTCACTGGTATTATTGTAAACATTTATCACTGTTAGGGGTTGGTACTACTGTAGTTGTTGTGTAGTTCATTGATCTTAGTGTCACAGATTCTAAGCTGAGATACATTTAAATAAGTTTTATAGCCCCACTTTAAAAAATAAAATAAAAAAACAAGCAAAAAAAACAAAAAACACGCAACTAGCTTCAGTAGGCCATGCCTCATCATCCCATGTAAAAAAAAAAAAAAAAGTCGTGATATATGACTGCATCTACAGACACATGAAAGCCTACATTTTGAATTGTAAAGTACCCCTGCATATATCTTGCTTGGTTCTTTTAACTCCTCTCCATAGCTGAAAGGTTTCCAAATGTAAAAGTGGCTCAAAAGCTTCAAAATGTAATTCCTCGTTTTGCCTTCCTCGGCTTACTTTCTCTAACGGTAACTGCTACATTACATATAACACAATCAATGACTTATTTTTAAATGATCTAAAACATGAGCAGTAAATGCTCAGTTTTGATTCAGTCAAAGAGCTACCATATTGAATGGCACTACACAGACTGGAAAACTATTTTTCAGGCGTACTTAATTAACTGTTCACTTTGTCAGAGACTGACAGATTCTCATTCAGTTCAATTAAAAAAACATAAATCAGAAAACTTCATTTTCCCCCTGATGTCAGTTTAGGACATATAGAGCAGTAGCATCAACTAATTTCATGGCAAAAAATGCAGCAAATTTCACATTTACATGTTGTTGTAATCCATTCAGGCCTACTGCTATTACAAGGATAGTGTTCTAAACAGAAAGGTCAGTTCCTTCAGTGATTCCAGGTCTTTAATGGTGGTTTCAGTGGCATTCAAGTTGTTCAAGCTGGGTAAAATCATTGTTAGCCTGAATCCAAATGTCCACTCTCTCGACCTGGGGACTGAGTGTTTATGTACCCTCATATAATTGTTGTCATCAAATCGACTCTCTCTTTCTAATTCAGAGGGAGTGTCTGTGTGCCCTTGCCATTGTGATGAATGGTGGATTTTTGGATATACATTCACAGGGAAATTGGTACATTTGGATTCAGCCTCGTTTTTTTTGTTGTTGTTTGTTTTTCAACCTTTTGGAGAGAGTTGAGTTGGGTTTACCACATGCAGATGTTGTTTCACATTTTCACAACAGTAAAATTGTTCTGATCTATGTGGTAAACTCTGCCCAGCGATAACACCAAACTGGTTAAAATGATCCCAGATTAATGCAGAAATAAATGGTGACACAAGTGTATGTGGGTGTATTACATTGATTTGTTCCGAGAATTAAAGGTAAAATGTTGCAATAGCTAATTTAATTGGAAAAAATAATCTTCCCTCTTCTAAGTTGCCTCAATTTCTTTGCTTGATTTACTGTCCCACCACTAGCACAAATCTCTGTTCAAATAATCTTGAACTCTCAGTGCTCCTGCATGAATTTCACTGATCAACAATTCTGTTGTTATTTAAATAAAATATTTCTGGGTTAGCAGTCACTGGCACATAAAACAAAAGGCCACTGAAAGGTACTGTATATCACTAGATCTTTTCTTCCCTGCGTTTGTCATTGATGAGGTAGACTGGGTGCACGGGACATACATCCAGTTATACCTGTAACCCCTGACCATTTGCCTTGCTCATATCTCTTTCACTCTCCTCACTATCAGGGTCACGACACAGAGCTGCTGTTGCCCAGGGACAGTGTGTATGTCCCTGTGCAGCCTGTTGTTGTGGTGAAGAGCGAATCAGAGCCATCTGCTATCAGCTTCATGGGAGCCCTACGAATACCAGTCAGTTACACATACACACCCACATCCTTCATTCAGTATTCATAACCATGTAGTGTTATGTTTGAGATGCTAGCTGATATAGAACTACACTATGCAACTAAAGTGAATACACCCCTGTGCATTATCACTTCAGTGTCAGATAATTAAAAATGATGTCACTCTACAGTAATTGCATTACTTATAAGTTATACAGTGGGGTTTTTACTTTTCTTTCTTCTTTTTTTAATGAAAAACGAACAGTTCAGATTTACTGTCTTCAAAATACAGGCCCCACAGTAGGAACTCAATGCAATAAAGGCCAGTACACCTTGATTACTGTTACTCTTTTTCAGTACTTCATATGTAAGCCTTTACTTTTGATGGCAGACTCAGCCACTGTCATCCTGCACAATTTTGTCAGCTACTCTTTGCTGGAAGGGTTGTGTTGCTCTATCCTTTTTTTAAAAAATTACACCAAAGATGTTGTAGTGGATTCAAGTCAGGCAGCATATCTGGCCAGATCATAGTTTTCAATTTTTTCTTCTTTAGAAATCCTCATGTGGTTTTTGCAGTGTGATTTTTATTGTTGTCATGCTGCAATATTCCTCTCCTGCCAAGCTTATGTAGACATGTGCATGTGACCTGGTCAGGCAGTATTTTGGTAGATAGATATAGACAAAAATGGTGCCATCAATAAATGTTATCTACCCATCACCTTTTGCACTCATTCAGTCCCATATCAACACTCCCACTGCCATGCTTCACTGTCAGAACTATGCATTCAGTTTACATTTATCTTGGCCTAGTTTGATCAAAGAATGTGTTACCAATATTTATCAGGCTTCTTTTTATGTTCTTTAGCAAAATTTTATTGTGCAGTTTTGTACTAAAGATCAAGCAAGTTTGTATTTATATTTTTTCTAAAGCTATCCGTAGAGGTTCATGAGTTGATGGTCCTTTGTGCTGTCTGAGCCATCACAGAAACTCTGAGTGATAACCTGTGCCCAATCTGAGGTACTTGCCCACCTGTTTTTCATAGCTAGATTGTGTAGTAGTACACTGTCTGTTGCATCATGTAGGAGGATGGTGCTGATTAGTGGCACAATGGCTCTTCCTATACCTCCACTGACTTTCAGTTGGTCACCAGTCTTCCTGTATCCCTGTCCATCTTTAGGTCTCACAATCAGATTTTTCAGTTCCTTTGACAATTCTTTTCAATGTAGAACCATGATGCAGACGTACAGATACACAGTCCATAGTTCCAAAACTGAGAAGGTTCTGGTGCTCAGAGGGGACTTCATAACCTTTCTTATGTAGTTAGACTGATTGGAGGCATTGGTGTACTCAATTTTGTTTCAGTCATCACAGGTTTTCTAATGTATGTATGAGTGACTGCAGGTGTATTCACTTGCATTGAGTTTCTAGTTTGGTCCTATATTTTCAGTAAAGTCTTTATATGTATATTTGTTTTTGATTGTTTAGACAAGGAAATGTTTTATATGTCAACTTATGAGCAATGCAATTATTGAGAGGTAATACAATTTTAAATCATTTGACAGGGTTGTTCTCAGGTTGTGTACTGAAGGGAAATTCTGTTGGTTTGTTATGTGTGAGCTTATTCTGCCAGAGTAACAGCACATCTCTGTTTTTGATTAGGGCCGTTTCTTTACAGGGCAGTTATCGTAGAAATGTTGTAGTCAGGCAGGTACACTCGCAGTGTTGTATTAATGTGTTTGGTGTTTGTCTCTCTAGGGAGTGATTGAGTTCTCTCTGTGTCTGCTGTTTGCTAAGCTGGTCAGTTACACTTTCCTCTTCTGGTTGCCACTCTACATGACCAAAGCAGGTATGGACCGAACAGAATTACTGGTAACAACATACTGCAGGTGAAAAATGACTCTGCTGATGAGGGATTGGTTCATTACGTATCTTCATTGCCTTTACCCTCCTTTATTTTCATTTGTTTCTCCACAGGATTATCACAAACCAAACAAATTAACGTAACAAAAAGAATATGTCACTTGATTCTGATTGTAAATACCATCTGACACCTTACTCTACTTCCGTCTGGCAATATTTAACTTACACTACCAAATTAAAGCTTTAGTGTAGGAGTTTTACATATAAATGAACGTTCATTATATTCCAGCCAAATGGGTTCATACTAGGCCAATTCACTCTGTCAGCCCCAGGTAAATCTCTCTGCATTTCACACTGTAACAGATTTTTAAAAATCTGGTGTCTGTGGTGACATTTGACATGTGACAGGATGCACTAGCAGGGATAATTTTACATGAACTAGCAATGATTTATGACTGCACGTTGGATTGGTGGTTTGTACTGTCACATCATAGAAGGTTGCCGGTTCGCATCCCAGTGAGGACACCCGGGATCTTTCTGTGTGGAGTCTCCATGTTCTCCCCGTGCAGCGTGGGTTCTCTCCAGGTTCTCCGGCTTCCTCCCACAGTCCAGAAACATGTTGAGGTTAATTGGTGATTCTAAATTGTCCGTAGGTGTGAATGTGAGTGTGCTTGGTTGTCTGTCTCTTAAGTGTAGCCCTGTGATAGACTGGTTACCTGTCCAGGTGAACCTGCCTTCACCCTGAGTCAGCTGGGATAGGACCCTAGTGAGGATTAAGCGGTGTATAGATAATGGATGGATAGCAATGACTGATTTACCACTGCTGAAGAGGAGAGCAACTGACAGAGTGGCAGCTATAGTAACTGTGTCATTCCCTCTCCAATCATCAAATTGAAAAAAGAAAAAATGTAATCTGCTCAGCCAGCTGTGACTTGCCTGAAACGATCTTAATCATAAACTGTCACGAGATATTTGTGAAATTTTAGCTTGATACAACAAATACTTTCCAAGGTCAATAAAAGAAACAGCTGTTGACCCACTCTTGTAATTTTTTTATGAGATTGAAATTTCAAACTATGCTTGAGCTGGAAATGAAAAGTAGATCCAACAATCTCTAATTATGAGTGAGTTTAAAAATGAAAAAATGGTGAAGCCATCATAAAAATTCTCATCTTTGAGCACATATTAACAAACAACTATTATAATCCAGGAGGACTTGTGATATTTTCTGAACCATATGTAGCTGCATGTCACAATACATGATCAAAACATTTAGAATTCTTTTTAATATGAAATACGTGATCACAAAAGCCTGATTGAGCAGGTATAACAAGTTGTACCACAAACAAGCTCAAGTAGACAGAGTTCAAGAGATGCTTGAGATTAAACTCTTCAGCAGTACCTATAGATATACATGTACTTCCACTTTAACTTTCTGCACAGAGTCCAGCCAAGTTTATTCCCTATAGAACATGACACAAGAGAATCCATTTGGATTAGTCATTTTGATCAACCAGTTTCCACAACGCTTATCAGAATAATCTTACTTTACAAAAAATAACTTTATTTCATTTTTGTGACCATGTATTTCATATTAAAAAGATTTTTTTTTGTTATTATGTGCTTAAAGACAGGACTTTTCATGATATTGCCGTTAGGCTTTTTTTTTTTTTTAAATCTCAGAAAGTATTTGGTATATCAAGCTAAAATTTCACAGATATTATTTTCAGTATCCATAGTTTACGATAAATTGTTAAAGCAGGTCAGAAATTGTTAAGCGGAAGACCTGTGATGATTTGGATGAAATAACTCAACTTCAAGTATTATGGAGCCTGTGACAGAAAACCTGGGAAGCATCCAAGAAAACGTTCTGCTGCTCCAGATAAAAAAGAAACTGTACTTTCAGAGGAAGGATTACAGTCTGAAAAAGAAAGCGATCAACGTAGATATGACTGTGAGCGTGCATGATTGTCTACCATGACTTGGCGGGGGTGTACCCTGCCTCTTGCCATTTGTCAGCTGGGAAAAGCACAAGCCCTCCAAACCCTCTTCAGGATATAAACGGGTGAAACTGATGAATGGATTGTAGATGCAAATATTCAAAATGTCTCCAAAACAAAGACGGTTCTGTGGGTTTGACCAATCAGATAACTGCAAAAACCATCTTTTATGGCCTTCATGTTAAAAGAGAGAAGAACCAAACACAAACTATTGAGGAAAAGTTGGAAGAGCTCAGCTATCTGAAGTAAGATTGTTTTCAGTTCTGTCACAGGATCTGTCACTGATAAATTATAAAACTTGTTTTTTCCATTGAAGCTTAAGTCATTGACCAGTGTGAGCGCTCTCTTCCACAGTAAATCCACTGATGCATTTCAAACAAGACAAGATATTCATTTTGAAGTATTATTTTAACTCGTTAGTGCTCACATGCTGTAGGTAAAGTGATGCCTGGATATTCGTGTATTCATTTTTGCAGTTGTAAGGAGTAAAAAACAAAACAAAAAAAAAGTGGAGATGCTGCTGGTCAGACTATGACTGTGGTTATCTGAACTTTTTTTTTTTTTTTACCTTATTTTGGCCTAGCCTTGCAACAAGGGGATAAATAGCTTTTATAGATCTGATTGAGGTAAACATTTTCTCAGCAACTTAAAACTGGCTCTTTCGCAGTGTTGCCTACTTTATCTAAATTATATTTATTTATGATTTATTTAAGTGATGATCCATCCATCCATTATCTATACACCGCTTAATCCTCACTAGGGTCGCGGGGGGGCTGGAGCCTATCCTAGCCGACTTAGGGCGAAGGCAGGGGACACCCTGGACAGGTCGCCAGTCCATCGCAGGGCCACACTTAGAGACAGACAACCAAGCACACTCACATTCACAATTTAGAACCACCAATTAACCTCAACATGTTTTTGGACCTTGTGGGAGGAAGCCGGAGAATCCGGAGAGAACCCACGCTGCACGGGGAGAACATGCAAACTCCACGCAGAAAGATTCCGGTGCCCCCACCGGGACGCAAACCGGCAACCTTCTTGCTGCGAGGCAACAGTGCTACCAACTGCGCCACCCTGCAGCCCTTAAGTGATGATGATTTGGATAAAAAATTCAAGTTGCCTTTCTGCATGCATAAACACGTGCTGCTGAAGCCTTTGTATTTATCAAATGACATCCAGTTCATACTTAAGCTGTCATGACTTTTACATGTAAGTAAACAGAGTGGTCAGACTTGAGGCCAACATGTTGCTGCTGTACAGCTCTGAAAGGACAGAGTTGGACAGAGCAGCAGAGGCAGGTATTATTCATGCTGTGACCTAAATCTGTATTACTGTTAGAGTTAGACAAGTAGTACTTATTGTTAAAGTCAGCATACGTCTTCAGGGGCCTGTACTATGGGATAAATTCTACATACCCAGGATGTTTTTGTGTTAATATGCGTCACTAAGCCTAACAACCACAGTCACACTGAATGGTCAAAACAGCAGCATGTCAACTCTGTGAGCAACCCAGGGTGTCTGAATCTAGCTATATGTGTGTCTCAGCTCACCTGGATGCCAAGAAAGCTGGAGATCTCTCCACCCTGTTTGATGTGGGAGGAATTGTGGGTAGGTGTCTTCCCTCTCTTGTGCATTTCTGTGTGTCTGCGTAGCTTTTGCCACAGCTCGTGACAAAGGAGGTGTGTCTGTGTGTGCGTGTGTGTGTGTGTATGTGTGCGTGTGCGTGTCAGTCAGCATATGGTTACTATGAAATATGAAACTCAAGAGGTCACTGCCTCTCTCTTTTCTGTGTTTGTGGGGGCACATGTGCCCACAGGAGGGATCTTGGCAGGAGTGATCTCTGATAAACTGGGGAAGAGAGCCACCACCTGTGCAGTAATGTTGCTGCTGGCTGCTCCTACAGTAAGTCTCTACTGCACTGCTGCACTCATCCAGACATATCTTACACAGTGTTTTGGAAGAAACAGGATGCTGAGGGGGCGGCACAGTGTTGGTGGCACAGGGGTTCTCCGGCTTCCTCCCACAGTCAAAAACGCGCTACGGTTAATTGATGAATCTAAATTGTCTGTAGGTGTGAATGTGAGTGTGCTTGGTTGTCTGTCTCTAAGTGTAGCCCTGTGATGGACTGGTTACCTGTCCAGGTGAACCTGCCTTCACCCTGATTCAGCTGGGATAGGACCCTTGTGAGGATTAAGCAGTATATAGATATGGATGGATGGATGGATGGATGGATGGATGCTGATGAGGGACTTAAAATGTTAGATTACAAGGCTTGCAGATAGGGATACCATTATTTATGTCATTCTTAGAGCACTTCGACCCTGATATCCTCTTTATCATTGGATGTATCATCAGTTTGCTTCTCCTTTTTTTTTACAAGCAAGTTATGAATGGTGACTGAAATTATGAAGGTTTTGACAGTTATGCTTTGTTTGTCCTGCAGCTGTACGGCTTTTCCATGATCAGTGAGTTCGGTCTGGGGCCAACTATTGGTAAGAACCAGCTTCTGCTTCTCAGCTGTGTCAGAGGTAGTGCGGAAAGATTAGTGGATCAATTAGAAATGAAGAGTAATGATAATTCATACTTTTTTTCAGTGGCTTATATTGCATCTTTGACACACATCAATTTACAAAAGCAAACCAGTAGATATTAATCTGACAAGATCATTTTTCTAATATACTGTAGTGCCATTGTTTAGTGATCTTTCATTACTTCTAATCTTTTCCACTCAAATTAAGAGCTTCCTGTGGAAGCTTTGGAAATTGTTGTCAGGTGCCACATTCGAGGGAGCTCCAGAAATCTCTCATACTGCAACCAGCAGATGGCTGTGTTGCAGCACAGAGGCAGACAACACAACACAGAAAAGAAAGGGATACCTTATAAGTTAGCAATAGGATGCAAGTCTGTTCCCAGTACATAAAGATGGAATCAGTATTTATACAGTCAAGTGTTCACACATTAGTATGATTATTCTCAGCATTTACATTTTACATACAGACAAACAAGATTTCCAAAGTGTTGTTTTGATTTAGTTACTTATCACCAATGACCAGATAGCAACAATTTTCACTGCTCAGGGATTAAAGGGCTTGGGGGGAATTGGGTCTATTGATGATAGGAAGTAGAATATGATGATGTGATGACTGGTTCAGTACTGGAGGGAGAGCATTGTGGGGAGTTGGAATTCTTATTTTCCAACAGTGTGGAGTCACTGCAGATACACAGGTGCAAGATACAAATCTTTGTTTTTTCTAAGACTTTTATCTTGGACTAATTCCTATTCTTAAAACGATTTGCTTGTTTTACACACACTTGTCCAGATTGGGTTTCCTAAACCAAAGCCCTCCTAAAGTATTTGTGTGTGCTCTGATGTGTGTTAATAATTTTCACTTTCCCAAATTCTCCACAACACTATTTTGGAGTCCTGTTGCATCAGTACAGGCAGAAAATACCTGCACGTGAGCTAAATCCTGCTGTGAATCATGAGGTCCATAAGGTCATATGACTTGGCTACATTTATCCAGTAGTTCATCACCACTGATTGATAGCTAAGTATGGAGGAACATCAGTAGGATGTTCTGATTAACAACAGACACTGTGGTTCTACAGAGGACTCTTATTTGCTCACACTGAGCTAATGACGGTCCCAGCTGCAGCTCATTATCCTCACAATATGCTGAGGGGAAATTTGTAAATGTTATTATGTGAGCAGCAACAGCAGCTCTGGTGTAGGATAATTATCATAGTACACATCACACACACACACATCAGGGGAAGCCCACCTGCTAGATGTCACAGCTGTAGTTTGTAGTTTGCTCTGAACTTCATCAAAAATGCCTTTGTCTGCATGCATATATTTTCAGTATTGCAATACACAGGGGTTTTGTAGATTTGGGTGGCTTAGCCAGTTTGTGTTTCACAGGGATGCTGTTAGTGTGTGGAGGCCTTGTGAATGGACCATATGCCCTTATCACAACTGCAGTGTCTGCTGATTTGGTAAGTACGTTTAACTCTAGTGTAATTCCAGTATAAATTGTTATTTTTAATTCGATCAATGCTATCACGCATCACTGATTCCTATCCCTATCTTTCTGACCTTTGATTCCAGGGGACCCACAAGAGCCTGAAAGGCAACGCTAGAGCATTATCCACTGTCACTGCTATCATTGATGGCACAGGATCTGTAGGTCAGTAATGCTGATCAGCAAATACACTTTTTGTACTTTTTTCATCTCCCTTTTCCAGCTTTACAACTGAAATTACATCCTGTCCAGAGCCGGTATGTTGCAATACCAGAAATTTGGTACTAAAATGTGGTCGATACTAATATGATTGACTTTGTTATCAATCTCACAACAAACCTATCCTAACTAAACCTAAAAAAATCACTCAAACAACTAAATGTATTTTAACATTAAAAAAAAACTGCTGTATACGCAGTTGGCTGACACACACACAATATTATAAGTAATAACGGTAGCTACTAACATCAGCAGCAATAGGAATAACATAACATTTCACCATGTGCACATTGTGACGACACTTTCATGTAAAGTTCAAAACTGGCATTCTGACGATATATTATTGTAGACAGTCTTAATTTGGTATATAATCTCTAACCCTAACCCTAACCCTCTTCAGAGGAATTGTACAGGTCATGTACAGGGTGCCATTTGTATTTGGAAGTATTTCATTTCAATGTTCAGTTTGTTGCTGATCAACTAGCCACAGCCCATCTCGTGTTTCCTGCTTGCAGGTTGGCCAGAGGGTTGTACTACGAAGTGAGATTAGTGGGTTAGCAGGTATGTTGATCCTAAAGTCAGAGTTTTCAGTGTCACAAAGGAGACTCTCTTTTTACTTGCTAGATCTCCATGGTAACTGATGCTGTGGAGCTAACCTGGTCGGGAGCAGGTTATGTTCAGAGTTTTGGATTTAAGAGCATCTCCCTTTAACCAGATCGTTTCCTGACTATTATTTATGAGCGTTACAGATTCTCAGCTGAGGGAATGTGTTTTATCTGCAAACATGCTAAGTTGTACGTTACTAATATCACTGAATGAAGCCGTGTAGTTACAGCATCACACACTGTAAATATTCCGTTGCCATGGGAACCTGACGTGTGTTTAGTTGGCGATGCAAAAATCACATAAATGTGTTTTTATGTTTGGCTCTGATTTGCTGTTAAGTCCGTTTACTCTGCTGCTACTGCAGCTGATAGACCACAGATTAGAAAATGGATTATTCTGCTGGTATTTATTACAGAGAATATTCAATCAATAACTTAGATTTTGCTTTGATTTGGCCAAAAGTTAAAATGATTTCCTGCATTATGGGACACACCTAAATGACCTTCATGACCTAAATGACCTTCAATACAAGATCATGTTTAAATATATGAAGTTTAAAGTTTAACATGCAGCTGTCAGAAATAAGTGGCTGCATCAGTAAAATATTACATATTAACACATGATTGACCGTTTTCTACGAGCAGTTCTGTCTTGCACCATTTGCAGTAGTGGTGCTTTTTAACCACCATATTTTTATATTCCTCATTATTCTCCATTAAAACAATGTTTTGACTGAAGCAGCTGCACATTGTTTCATTTTGTGCAGAACAAGAGTGACGTGACGCGTTAAACGCGTCCTTTATGTGAACAGAGTCGGAAGAGGAAAGTCGGAGTTAACAAAGAAAGTTGAACCGCCTTCGTGATACCCGTGATCTCTGACTGGAGCTTTAGTTTTTGTCGGCTTATAAAAAGGAAGCCTGGATATGTCAAACTTGCTTCATCGTATACCCCTCAGGTCCCTATTGTGGTCATCCTTGATGCCACTCAAATGCCTCTCCAATTAGTTTCGTCCTATGAATGGATTCCATCTTCACTGTCTTGGACTGCAGCTCCTCCTGCGACCCTAGTGAGGATTAAGCAGTGTATAGATAATGGATGGATGGATGAATGATCGATCTGTCCAGGGTGTCCCCTGCCTTCGCCCTAAGTCAGCTGGGATAGGCTCCAGCCCCCCCGCGACCCTGATGAGGATTAAGTGGTGTATAGATAAGGGATGGATGGATGGATGGATGAATGACGAGGTATCCAACTACCATCACCAGACAGTGAAGCTGAAATCCAACCATGGGATGGACAGACTCTCTTGAGAGGCAACTGAATGACATCAAAGATTAACCACAACAGCAACCTGGCAGCCTCTTTCATAAACAGGAGACAGGTAGACGGGTAAAAAAATAGCAGTGAATACACAAACATGCAGAAAGAAGCATCAAAGTGACATACAATAATGATACCTTTTTAAGCAGGCAACGATATGCACAACTAACCATGTGATCACACAAGTTCAACTAAATCTGGTGGAGAGTTCTAATTTAGATAATGATTGTGCCCTGAAAAATCATATGATCATATCATATGATGTTTTGGCCAGATGGTCTACCTATAACTACAAACCAGATTATGTCATTTTGCAAAGGTTAAAACCCTGTTTAGACCAATGGTTTTATTGACAGACACCACACGCATTCTTTTTCTAACACCTTCCCCTCCAAATGAGACTGATACTTTGGTACAAAACACAGACTGGAACCCAAGTTGCACTTTTTTAATTTTAGAAAAAGTTGAAACACAACATGATCTCTGACCATTCAAATTGTTTCAAGGGCTAAATGAAAAAGAAATAACAAGGAAATTTGGTATTATTCAAATTTTCTTACTCAACAGATCATGGAGAAAATGGAAATGAATGTTAGTCTTCTCCAGAGTATTTTCCAGTTACCCTACTTTGTTTGTAGCACAGCTTTATTGGTACTTTCTGGAAGTTCCCAAATGCTGGATTTATCATTTTTCTGAAACAATTGGCCAGTGTAGTTCCATAACAGCTGGTCATACAAGAAGAAATAGTGAATGTGCTTTGAAATATATTGAAGTAATCTGTACATAGAGAGTATTTTCGGCAGAAGAATTTGGTATGAACTAGCATGTGTGCATTATTGGTAAAGACGGAATATGTCAGCCAATACAGTGTGGCTCATTGGTGTTGGTTTCTAGATAACAGGAAAGTTCTGGCTTTGGATACATGAACAATACTTGTCAGGTGGGTACAGTTGTGTATAACTTAATTTTGATTTTTTCAGTGCATCTAAAATGCCTTTTGGATTCAACCTCTCCAGGCTCCCTATCAATTCGTACAAGTGTAAGGACAACCCACCTGCAGAAATACATGATTCCGCTTATGTTTCTGCCATCAGGAGCAGCACTGGGCCCCCTGCTGGCTGGACTCTTATCTGCTGGTGGCTGGGATCAGGTCTTCTACATGCTGATGACTGCAGACTTCCTTGCTCTGTTGGTGAGTGCTTTAAAACCTTAAACAGCAGACATTACCTGTTTGGCAGCAGAGAGGGGGCAGACACAGTTTCAAAGTAGCTATTGAGCAAAGTGGACAATTTAGCAGTAAAAGAGCTGGATGTTTACCTGAGGAGTTGGTGGATATCAAAAGTACAGTTTAAAGGAAAGTGAATATTGCACTTGATGTTATGCTTAAAGTTATAGCGTGTGTATGTGTGTGTGTGTGTGTGTGTGTGTGTGTGTGTGTGTGTGTGTGTGTGTTCGCGTGCGTGAGTAGCTTTTGCTACGGCTAGTGACAAAGGAGATGTCCTCGTCTAAGTCCCGTCCCATCTCCGCTGTAGAGTGAGTATTGTTGTATCTTGATTGTGATTGTGCTCGGTGCCCTCTTACTATTTGCTCTTGCTCTTCATGCTTCACTCCCATTCCACTGCATGCTGTATAAACTTGTTCTATATGGCTATTGAACGACATGTCCTGGTCAAATATAACTACAAGGCTCTGTACAGTAGAACTGGAAGCCAAGGCAATGCCATCTAGAGCAGCTATCTGATGAGATAGGGCCAAAATAACCTCAGTTTTGTCAGAATTTAAATAAAGGAAATTCCAGGTCATCCAGGCCTTTATGTTCTTCAGACGTGCCTGGAGTCTGACCAACTGATTGGTTTCATTTGACTTCATAGATAAATATAACTGGGTGTTGTCTGCATAACAGTGGAAATTTATGCAGTGCTTCCTAATAATAATGCCTAAGGGGAGCATGTACAAGGTAAATAATATAGGTCCAAACACAGAGCCCTGTGGAACTCCATAACTAACTCTGCTGTGGGTGGAAGAATCATCATTAACACTGACGTTGACCCAAAACTCTGAGTGAAACATTAGTGAACTCCACTTAAAATCGTTTATCCTTCATGTAACATCATTTTTTAGCTTGCAGCACCACCACCTGCTTGGAGGAAATTCTGCCTGTAATTCTTTTTGCAGCTACATGACTGTTGAAAGTAATTTTTCAGCATGGAGCGCTATTCTCCAAACAGCAGCTAATGTTATATCCATGACCAGAGACAGGAGCGTCTCATATTTTTAGAATATGGACAAAAGGTTCAATGTTTTTCATCAGACATTGACAAGTGAAAAATGTATGTATTCCAGACTCAGTACACATAAACTGAAATATTTCAAGCCTTTCTGTTTTTTTAAACTTTAGTTATAAGTGCTTGCAGCTCATGAAACCCCCCCAAAATCAATCTCAAAATATTAGAATATTGCACAGATGAGCTGTAAGCCTTTATCATCAAAGTTAAAACAAACAAAGGCTAGCAATATTTCAGTGTATTTGTACTGAGTCTAGAATATACATATTTTTCACTTTGACCAATGTCTGAATAAAAATATTTGCTTTTTCTACCATACCTAATTTTATGAGATGCACCTGTACTGGTGTCGTGACTCAGTCTGCCAACAGTGACCAGTGATGGTCAGGCAGCTTCATCCAACACTTTTTAAAAAAATCTCTACTTGGTCAGCTATCGGTGTCTTCAAAAGTTATCAAGGAAAAATAGTCTTCAAACAGCTTTCAAAGTCTGATGTGAATAATGTTCAGTCAATAAAGAGGTTGCAAGAATAAACATGAGCAAATCTCGAAATTAAACTGATCAAACAATGCATCTCAACTTCTTATAGACTTTTGCAATTTCTCCGATTCTCCTCTTTCTCCTGTGAAAACACAACCCATTCTTTTTTAAAAAGACCAATCAAGACATCTCTGCCACCATTATGTTTGAATTTGTTCACATGGGTGTATGAGCTCATCGTGGCACAGTTTCAAATAGCTCTTTATAAAAAAAAAACAAACAAAAAAAACCAAAACATCCCTTGTCTTGTACATGCATCCTCATCATTTACTGCTCACCCCAGAGAGAGCATCCCCTAGTGCCATGTACACCACTATCACCTGTCCTGCACATGCACCCACTCTATGCTCAAAACACCGACTGCTCATACACAAATTCAGCTGAGGTTTGCATGTTAGCCTGCCAGGTCACTATGATCCACAAGTATACACAGGCCTCACACATGGACTTCCAGGCTCTCGTGTCAGACAAGCTTTTCTATTGTAGTTGCTGTATTTTCTAAGTTTCTATGGGTTGTGATTACACAGGCTTGTACAGGATTAATTCATATTGTACTTGAGTCTAACTTAATCATCATATTTTCCAGTTTTTCATCATTTGTTCAGTTTAAAATTACACAATACTAGCATCATGGTTGATGATTGCTGCAGGCCATGTTCACAGACCCCTGTGAAGTTTACACACAAACTAGCTGATTTTCTGAAATGTTTGATATGGCATTTCTATAATTGTTGTTCTTAAATGAGTTCAACTGTGGCTGCTGACCTGGCTTGTTCCACTGTACGTTTTCTGGGGTCCTGTAACATGTTCACTTTCAGAGATCTCATGGAATCTGTCTGAGATAACAGATCACCACAATAAAAGCACCACCTACTGACTAGTCAATTCTCTTTGAAAAACACTTCATGATTCATAGAAGATTCCGTGAAGCTCAGTGAAAGGACAATGAAAGGGTTTCTTAGGAGGGCCCTGGCACATAGTCGACCATGATCATTATAGACAGGTGGTTGTAATGTTTTGCCTTTTCTGAGTATGTGTTCACAGACACAAACTTCAAAAAACCAGTCATGCTCATGGACACACTCAGCATTATCACCCACTAAAACCATCACTGAATGACTACATTTTCTAGTTAGTGATTTTATCTAAATGAATGTATTGAAACCAGGACACAAAATGTGTAGTTCCATTTGTTTCCTGAAAAAAAACAAGTGTTTCCTCATGGGCAGTGGGTTCAGTGTTCACACAGCTTATTGCTCTTGACTGTAAAACTTAATTGCACCCAACTTATCAACACGGTGTTAATGTTTGTCTCTACTTCACAGGTTGAAGGAGCACTGAGCACTTTGATTACACACACACACACACA